CTGCCTGGGGTGGTTCGCCGGACCCTTCCTGGCTGCTGGTGGGCTGCTGCTCTCCTGCAGTGCCTGCTCCAGCAGGACGGCATCGCCACCAGCCCCCGCTGGCCACCAGCCCCCAGCCACGCCAGGTCCAGCCCGGGGCCACCCCCTGCACCCCAAAAACGCAGACCTGGTCATCTAGGGACTCGAGGCACCATGCCCCGTATGCTCTTCCCCTTGCAGGGATGGCTCCTGAGTGCTTTACAAGATGATTTGCCAATTCCTGTGGCAGCCTTGCAGAATTTTTTCCTTCCTCCGTGTGTCTGCTTTACGTTTTCTTTTTGAAGGAGCAACAGCTTTTCCCACAGCACTCGCCGAGCGAGCGTGGAAAGGTGACGAGGCAGAGGCCAAGCAGCACTTCCTACTCCTGAGGATGTTTGGGGTAGAGTCACTTCTTATCGACGCTGTGTTGGCATCCCCTGTGAATCCCCCGTGACCCAGTCTGTGGTGGGTCACAGCCAGGGCCCAGCTCGTTCCTTGCACATCCATGTCCCTCTGATGTATTCTCAATAAATTATGGCCGTTGGTGGCGTTTCTGTTCTCTGAATGTACAGCTGCATCTTGCACAAGTAGGGAAGAAGGGTGGGAGCTGCAAGGGGCAGCACTACCACTCCAAGGATGCTTTGGTCTGTCCAGAAGAGACTGGGGGAAAAAGAGAGGAAAGTGAAAAACAAGAGGGAGAGGGAACAGGGGAGACAAAGTGTTAGCAAAGCCACGTCCCCTGCAGCAGCTTCATCTTCTCATGACTAAGGGGATAAAGCTGTTAAGTGACCCACAGACCTTCCTGCAGCAAGTTCCCGAGCTGCATCCTTCACCTGTGCACCTGAGACAGGAGCGGTGCTTTGGGGGCTCCTTAACCCTTTCCTCCACCCTTTACCTGCTGTACAAATGGACCCTGCCCGCCCACCCACCTCCGGGTGACTGACGGTGCAGAACATCAGGCTGGATTAACTGCCAGGTCCCCGCAGAAGCCGCCGCCCCGGTTAACAGCCGAGGTCACCCCTG